GTTGACCCGAGAAAAGTTGAAGCTATGGTAACCTGGCAAAGACCAACAACCGTAACCTCGCTTAGAGGATTTTTGGGCCTAACAGGGTACTACCGTAAGTTTGTACAGAATTACGGGATAATTGCTAAACCACTCACGCAATTGTTAAAAAAGGGATGCTTTGGTTGGGGGGAGGAGGCAGAACAAGCCTTTGAAGCCTTAAAAACAGCCATGACATCTACACCAGTCTTAGCACTACCAAACTTTTCGAAAGGCTTTGTGATTGAGACTGATGCCTCAGGCCATGGTGTTGGAGCAGTCCTATCGCAAAGCGGACGACCAATAGCTTACTTGAGCAAGGCTATCAGTATAAGAAAAAAGCTTGGTCAACTCATGAAAAGGAAATGCTTGCAATTCTGGAGGCTATAAGAGCATAGCGACAATATCTATTGGGTTGCAAATTCCAAATCCACACAGATCAAAAGAGCCTTCGTCATCTTCTTGAGCAAAGGATTACGACTCTGGAACAACAAAAGTGGCTAACAAAGTTGATCGGGTTTGATTATGAGATCGTGTACAAACCAGGAAAAACAAATAAGGCGGCTAATGCATTATCTCGATATGGACAAACTATGACCACAACAGATTTGGCGGCTATATCTCAGCCAATTTGGACTTTATGGGAGGAAATAGCACATGCTACGGCAGCGGATAGTTCCTTGGTTGAAATAGTGAGACGGGTGCAAGAGAACACTCACCCAGGAGATGGGTATCGACTGAGGAATGGATGTTTTTGGCTTAATGGAAAAATTATCGTGCCAAACGATTCAAATATATAAAAGTAGATGAATTTTGAAAAAAAATTTACTTTCACTCTTTATACATGTAAAAATACACAAATTTAAAAAAAAATGTTTTCACAACTGCATTAAAATTGTATTAATTTTTGTAATAGTAATTTAATTCAAATTAGTTAAATGTATTTATCTTTAATTTTTATGATAATTTTAAATTTTAATATTAATATTTATTTTAAATTTTATTATTAGAAACTGATAACGGATAAAATTAAGAAAATTTTTTAAACTTTAAATTAAGTTAATTATAAAAATAAAAAACTTTCTTCTTTAATCTAAATTAAGTTTATTATAAAAATAAAAACTTTATTTTTTAATTAATGTCAATATAAAAGAAAAATAACTTTATAAAGTTATATATTGTAGTTCTTTCTTTCAAATAATTAATATTTTTATTAGTAATAATATTAATATATACTAATTAATTTTAACCTTTAAAATAATATAAAAATTATCATAACAAAATTATGAAGTTATTTTTTTATTTTATAATTAATAATTATAATATTATATTATGACATAATAACTTATCCGTATTTTTCGTTGTATTTTTCAAATCTTAAAGTGAGAAAGAAAATGAATTTTATTTGGTATATATAAGGAAAAGTACAAGTTATTTGTTTGAAATAAAATTCCTCTAAAATGGCACATACTATTTCAATGCTTTCTGAAATACGACTTAGGACCTGGATTGGAGGATAATGATTCAAATAATTCATTTGTAGTTTTCTTATGAGTTTAGAAATAAAAGTCAAGTCAATAGTATGAACATGATTTTGGTCGATAAAAAGGTGAAACTGTCAGATTTCTTTAGTCAAAGGGCATAAATTTTTATTATTATTTAATTTAATTCCTTCATCTTTTCTCATTATTTCAAAATTTAATGATTCATTGTACTGTTAGGAAGAATATTATATCACGTTATGAAAAACTACTCCATCAAGGCAATGTGTATATCATAGAAAATTTTATAGTCATTACTCCTGAAAAGAATATGTTAACCACTAAACACAAATGAAAGTTAAATTTGATGATAACCTCCAAAATTTCAGAGGTTAAATGTAACAATATCTCTTTTAATTGTTTTAATTTTGTTCCATTCTCAAAAAATTTAAGTGGGTTAGATGAATTATATCTAATTGGTAAGTTTTATTTTTATTTTATTTTAATTGCTTTCATATATAACCATGTGTGCTACTTTATTGTTTTAAAAGAATGTTTGACACATGTTCAATTAGATGTCATTGGTCATGTGGTTGAGAAATAGGATCTAAAAGAGACAAAAAAAAATGGAAAGAAAAGCAAATATATTGATTTAGTTCTCGAATAGTTGGAGTGAATATTATTTTACAACATATTTTAATGGCTAAAATATTTTTTATTTATTTTATCTCTTTCATTACTTTATACTAATTAAAGGTTATATTATATTGAATTTGTTTTGTAAGAATCAGATAATTGTTTTCACTTTATGAGAGGAGTTTGATGATCAGATGATTAATTTTCTAAATAATAAAAATTATAATGCTTTACCTAATGTGGTTATTCAATTATGTAAAATGAAAACATTTTGTGATATGATTCGTTATCAATATTGAACTCCTTTTAATTGTGTGATAGTTATTATTATCAACAAACTATATTTCATGGTTGTTTCAAAAACTTTAGGCATACCAAATGCTTATAATAGAACAAAGTTGTATATTAATTCTAACATAAAAGAGACTATTGATTATAAGAATAAGTAAGTTTTTTAATTATTTTTTATTTATGGAGGCATCATTATGTTTTATACAATATTTTTTATTTTTGTTAACTTATTAACTATTTTATTTGTGGTATAGGATAAATATGAATGATGCAAGTATAAATCGAGTATTAAGTTAGATGTTTGGGTACTTCTCTGTTTCTATAGAAGATGGTTTGCTCCAAATTCAAAGAATGACCATATATAAAATAATTGAGACAAATTATGTATGTTCTATATTAAAATAATGAAGTGAAATGCATTAAGATGTTCTTTGCAAACAATTTTTTTTCCTTTTTAGTTACATGTTTATGTTACTTTTTTATTTATTTTGAAGTTTAGTTATAAAGTTATTTACCAATATTTTAATATATTTGAACCATAGTATTCTCTGTCAATGTTATATAAGTGGATAAATTTTTTAATATATAAATTTAAGTTAATTTAAAAAGATTCTTACAACATCTTGATTTAAGTCCTTTATTATCATTATGAAATACATTATTTATATTAGTCAAGTTATATTAATTTGATTAACATATATATCCATTTTTTTAACTTTAATATTAACATATTAATGCATTAAGAATTAATATTAATTTAGTGTTTGTAATTTTAATATTAACATATTAATACATTTATTCTTGCAAAGTTTAAGATATTTTTAAATTTTTATATTAATGATTAATTTAAATTTTATTATTGGAAACTAATAATTGATATCTAATTATCGAAGAATAGTAAAATAAATAAATAAATTTTATTATTATTTTAAATTTTGATATTACTATAGTTGTTATGTAACTAAACTAACTCATAAAAATGATTAGAAAACTTTGAACTATGTGTATAACATGCATATATTACAATAAATTATTTATAAACTATTTATAAAATTCTTTACTCTGTATATAGTGCATACATATATTATAGGTAAACTATTTATAAAAATTATTAAGTTCAAATCAATATTTTATTTTCAAATTTAAAGATCATATATTCTTTTAACATGGTAAGCACCCCTTATAATAATTACCTTATTACAAAGTTGAAATCAAAGTTATTTTTCTTTATTTTATAATTAATAATTATAATATTATATTATGACATAATATAGTATGTATTGACTTTATTCTTATAATAATATTTGTTTATATTTTATATGTAACTCATAAATTTTATATTATATCAACATGTATAATTTTAATTGATATAAAGATTTATTTTTGTATTCAATAAAATTATTCTTCTATTTTATTTTCTATTTAAATCTTAATTAAAAATTTCAAATATATAAAATTTATAAAAATTTGTATATAAAAATATATTTATCATAATTTTTAATTTAATTATATTTAATATTATTCAATATAATAAAATTTTATTATTACATATTTTTATATTTAAATTATAATTATTTATTTTAAAATAAAATAATTTAATAAATAATATAAACAAATTTGTGTAACACACAAATATATTTACTAATTTATAACTAAATTATTATCATTAAGATTTACAATGTTTAAAATCATATATAAATTAATTTTAACTATTATATTTATTTTTATATATTTTTTAAAAAATAATCAAAATTTTCAATTAACATTTTTTATGTTTTTATTATATTAAAAATAAATATTTTTATTATATTTGTACAAATCTGTGCAACGAACAAACATATTTACCTGGCATAAAAAAATTAATATTTTTTATCCCTAAATTGTATGCTATATAATTTTGTAAAATAAAATATATTTTTAGTATTTATAAATATAGTTAATATTTATTTTATTCCTTCAATAGTTTTAGTCTTACTAAATTTTAAATATATTAAAATTGATTTTTTTATTATTAATCATCAATTATAAGAATTATTTTTAAATTTTATAAATTAAAATAATATTTGAGTCTAATTTTTTTACTTTTAAAATTAATTTACAAATATTTAAAAAATATTGCAAGTCTTAATACAATATATGAAATATTTTTATTAATAATAATATTAATATATTAATTAATTTTAATTTAAAAAAATTTAAATATTTTATATAATTATTTTTTAATTATTAATTATAATATTATATTATGTTATAATAATTTATTTATGCATTGCATGCATCCTAGTTAAAAAATATAATAGTTGCAAATTTCATCCAAATGTATCTTATTTTAAATAATTTTGAGTCATTTAATTTGCGAATCAATCCACTCCCAAATTCTCATGCTGCATCTCTTGGACATATGGCGGGAAAATGTCCATATGATCCTTATTTCACATTTTCCCATACCAAGCCCTAAACCTCTTATATAAGGACATAAATCACAAATTGTGCATTTCAGTGCTCTGCTTCATACTCCAAATCCTCTCATTTCCTTTACCCATCTTTTCGCCGCTGCCGTACAAATGTTCAGCTGCTTCACAGTAGTCTGATCGATATTCCACCATTCACTTCGCTATCGCGTTAGTCACTCATAATTTTCTTCTCTCTTTTTTTTTTTGCTTTGTTTTCAATTTTGCTTTTGATGCCTTGGAATTTAGGGTTTCTTAATCCGGGGGTTTCGTGCTAGCTCTTCGCCAAAGGAGCCTGTGCCCTATTTACATGCTTTTGTTTCTGTTTTCTGTTCCTTAATTTTTGTCCATGTGTTGTGTTTTAGGAACGGATCGTGAAACTCCGTAACCAGAAGCCAGAGTTTGAAAATGGAAGGTGCGTTTGATGATGAAGCTGAACCGGCTGTTACAATCGGCGAGTACCTGGAGGAAGTCGAGGAACGAGAGCTGGTTAGTATTTTTTGCATTCTTGACATGTTTTCATATCTATGTGAAGCTTAGTGTTATGTATCTCTGATGTTGGTTGTTTGACATAATTGATTTGCATCTCATTTGGCTTATATTGTCAAGATCTATCTTATCATTATGAATTATGTGGGATAATGTTTTGCTCTCTTTGACCGTATTGCTACTTGTGGTCCTTTAACCAGTAACCGTAACCTGATAGCTTCATTAGGAGGTGTTGTACTTGTTTGTCCATGTAACTTGAGAGTTATTTGTTTGGATGTTTACAATTTTGCGGAGGCGATGGAGTTGGCTTAGTGAAGTAATGCATATCTCATTTAAATGGGGACAAAGGCTTACTGTTTAACTATTGTATGCATGTCTAAAGAAAGTATTTGACCTTATGCTTTGCATACTTTGGGTGGGGTGAGAAATCACTGCTTGCACTTTGGTGTAGATTGGTTTTCTTGTTAAAGCTGGAGATTATGAGTTTTGTTTCAAAGCTGGAAAACATACAGAGATCAAATTCTGAAGCACATGTTTTAAAGGATATTTGAGAAATCACAATCTACTCTTAGACAAGTATGCGTGTGTGTGTTCATTCAGTTGACTATTGTAGTGCTTATGAGAATGTAAATTATGTTCCAACGTCCAAGTAAGTTGTAAACTTTGTCTGTACGTGTTTATTGCTTGTTGGTTGTGTTAATCACCTATTTATTTGGGGAAAAGAAAAGTGAATATTTTATGAGTATTAAAAATGATTAACGGTGTATTTGGAATAAATGAAATTATCTTGTGATTATTTGTTACCTGTTATGGAGTATGGACTACTAATGTGGGGGCATATATGGTTTTTATAGCATTGTTTTATAATGATGCCCGATTTTCCTACATTTTTTTTATTTGTTAGAAGTTCAAGCCCTTGAAATTATCTGAAATCTCATATATTGGTTCACGAAACTTTGGTTGGCTAGTCTTCATTTATCATATCGTGATAATTTGTTCCTTGTCTTTTGTGCTTGTTTTCTGGTTTGGTTCCATTGTTTCAAGCATGGTAGTCAAAATTGCGATTATACTCGTAAGATCATATGATTTTATGATTTTCTCCATGCCAAGCGATTTCAATCCTAGGATTTGATATGTTTTGTTAGGTTGTTGGGATTGCACGATCTTACTGGTAAAATCATGTGATCGCAGCATGCTGAAAAAGAGCCTGATTTAAAAATAATAATTTTTTCATAAAAAATCCAATGCACCCACCTGATTTTCTCATGACCTGGTTTATATAACCCAAGACCTGCATGTCTAGGTTATTTGGCCGCAACATTACCCTCCATTCCTTGCTCTTTCTTCTTCAAATCTGTATGTGAATGTGACTGGGTGGGTACTGGGTTCTATTCTCTGCCTCTATTTCTTCTTCAATGTTGATTGCTGCTGTACCTGCAAGTTTGAGTTGCTCCTGGGTATTGGTAGCTGTGCCTGTGAGTCTGTCTTGCAAATGGATGCTCAGTGTTCAAATACAAGGCCCCCTCTCTCCATTCCCACTTGTATTCAACTCTGTTTTGATTATTATTATGTATTTTGTTTCTGAATTTTTTTTTCTAGTTGCACGTTTCGTGATCCTTTTTTCTGGTTGGCATTTTGTCTATATTTTGCAAGGTGTGGGCTGGTCCTTTCTTTTCTTTTTTTGTGAAAACTTACATTGGTTAAATAAATAAATAAAATTTTGTTTTTTATAGAGTTGTCATTTGTCGGGTTATGACATATTCTAATTAAATTTTATTAAATGTTATTTATGATTTTAAGGTTACTTTGCTTATTTATGATATTTATATGTATATATATTATTCAAGTTTAATTTCATATTTTAAGATCTTATCATAGTAGTCAATAGCGGGTGGAGCATAGCGGTGCGGTGCCACTATGAAGACCCTATAGCATCGCGGTTAAGAGGAGCGGCTGTTGCACTGCAAATAGCAGCCAAAAATGACAGAAATTGTGGCTGTCGTGGCTGCTATTCAATGTCTAAAATTCTGAACTTGCCCTTTGTTTCTTAACGTTGGGCCCCCTATTTTCTGATCTTCTCCTCCCTCTTTCGCAAGCCCTAACTTCTCATTTTGTCTCTCAGTTCTCCCTCTCATTTAATCTCTATTTTCTACGTTTCCACTGCTTTTGGTGGCCTTCATCTCTGTTGAGGCTTCTACCGTGACAGGGACATTCTGCTGTCATCTTATTCATCTTTGGTGAAGCCTCCAATGTGACTTGGATTGTTTTGAGTCATCTTCTTTATTTCTGGTCATCTTCTTCAAGTTCAACAAAGCTTTCAACATCACTCAGACACTTTCCGGTGACTGAACGTTTTTTTTCCTATTTTAGTTGTGTTTTTTTATTTCCTTCTTTGTTTGGATTCTCCTACTCTGTTCTCTTTCAAATTTCAAAGCTTCAAGTAGAATCAATGGCTACTCCTGCACTCTTTGCTGTTTGTTATTTATTTCCTTTTCTGATTTGAGTTTTTCTTTTTTGTTTTGTTTCAAATTTGTGTATTAATTTTATATTTTTCAGCATGTATATGTGTGCATATAAACTTCAGAACAGCGGTCATCCCGCTACCGCTATCCCTGTTATAGCATTTTTGAGGTTGGCCGCTCTGTGCCACTATTTAGGATTGACTACTATGGATCTTACCTTTCATGCTATGATCCTATGATTTGCATGTTTCCCTCCCCCTCCTGATCCTAGGTAGGATCTTGATTTTGACTTCATGGTTTCACACATGATTTTTTAGTATTAGGACAGGACAATAAAATGTGTGTGAAATATATGACAATTTTGATATAATTTTGATATATAATTTGCATCTAAGTAGAGATTATATTCTTCTTGTGCACTTTACTTTATTTGAAAGAGGCTGCTTGTTGAGTTTCAAGGTTCATAAACTAATTTGATTAGGCAGAAGCTATTATACTTCATGGTAGTTTAGGGTTTAGCTATTTTACTGTTATGTCTGATTCTATTTTACTCAGGTTGTGGCATGATTGCAACCATAGTTATCAATAGCACATAAGTGCAACACTTTTGCAGTGGTCAGCTGCCACAGAACTTAAATAGTGGAGTTTTTTCTGTTTGCGGGTGTACTGGCCCAAAATCTGTATTTTGCAGTGATATCTCTGTGCGGCAGAGAAGATGAAGTGAAAATTCCATCTTGGCCTTATAAACTGCGACATTTTGCGGTTATTTTTTAGGGCCAAAGTTGTCCTTTTGTTTTTTCAGAAAAGTTAAAAACCCTAACCCTAAATTTTGTTTTCACTCTTTCTCTTCTCTCTCTTCTGTTTGAAACTTCTCTTCTCCCAGTTCTGTTCTAACTTTGTGTGATCAAAGTGGCAGAGTCACCCATCTCCAATGGTATTCCAGCCACACCCATGCTTTTCTCTCTTCTTTGTTTGGGGCTTCTGCCTTTTTAACCCAAGTGGCAGAGCTAAACATCTATTTTGACTTGTCTCTCTATTTTGCAGTTCTGTTGTTTCCCCTCCGCAACCTTTATGATACTTTTTTCTTTTTTGTTACTTATTTGTATTCTTTAGACTTGTTACTTTTTATTGATAATTATGAATGTTTCATTAATTATGGATATTTTTTTGAGCATTGTATGTATAATTATTTATATAATATAGATCATATGTATGCATACAAAAATTTAAAATAGTGGGCTTCTTGCAATATCGTTTTGAGGGTTGACCACTATGTGCTGCTATCTGGGATAACTATCATTGTAATGTTGGCAGTTTAATTATTTCCTTTCTCATTTATTCAATTTGTAGGAAGCTGATTTAGTTTTGGGGGGTGATGATGGCAAGGAGTGTACCTACAGCAAAGGTTATATGAAAAGGCAGGCAGTTTTCTCTTGCCTCACCTGCACTCCTGATGGGAATGCTGGAGTTTGCACAGCTTGTTCATTGTCTTGCCATGATGGTCATCAGGTGGTTCTTATGATTCCAGAATTTTGGATTGCATTACTATAGAACAGAAAATGGATATGGATTGTGTTCATGTTTACTTTATATTGTCATTATGCATTTTTGTAAAGGAAGGTGGTAAATTATGATGTCAATTTTAGATTATTGTTTTGCTCGTATAATCTCCAGTGGTGAATCTGAGGTATATTCATAAAATTTTCAGTCATAGATTTGTCCTGTATTGTAAATACTTGATCTGTAGTCTGTGGTGGGTCCCTGATTACACGCTAGTGGCAATATAAAGTAAATCATAATTAGCATTAATACATTGTCTACATTGGTAGTGTTTCTTTTTATTCTTATGGGCCATAACGTTGATTGTATGTGAAGTATTGTATTCCATGTTTACTTATATTGGCCATGTTATAATGCTGGGACTGGTACACTTTATGTGGAATAGGTTTAGCTTTATTCACTAAAATAAAATTTTATTACTTGAATGGAACATCCGGTTTAACTTTGTTTGCTTGATCAATACCCATAACCTATGGTTTTATTACTCACCGCTACATATGAAGATTGTGGAACTGTGGACAAAAAGAAACTTCAGGTGTGATTGTGGGAATTCAAAATTTGGTGATGTCTACTGCAAAATTTTCCCAAACAAAGATTTGGAGAATGTTGAGAATTCATACAATCACAACTTTAAAGGTTCATATTGCACATGCGGTCGCCCGTATCCTGATCCAGACTTTGTACAACAAGAAGAGATGATACAGTGCTGTCTATGTGAGGACTGGTTTCATGAAGAGCATCTTGGGCTTGAGTCGTCAGCTGAGGTTGGTGTCTTGGAATGTGGTGCTTGGTCTTTGCCTAAATTTTTTTTTGTTCTTGTACTTCAATCTTGAGTGAGATTTGTATGCAGTTTTGGAAAATAAAAAATGCAAGGCCTTATTGTGATGTATTTATCATACTCATGTTTTGCCATTTGATTGTTTTCCTTGCTATACCGTAGATTCCCAAAGATGATGAAGGAGAGCCTATCTATGAGGAATTTATATGTAAGGCATGCTCCGAGGTATGTTTCTTTATAAAGTTATATCCTGAAGAAAGATGGGCGGCTGGAAAGCAGGCAGATGCTACTGTCCAAGTTAACAAGGACAAAGGTGTTTTGGAAGAGATGCCTACTTGTGAGTCTGAAAAGCCAATGGGTGATTCTTCATATAATTCTCCGAAAAATGATGTTTCACAAGCTACTGTTGATTCTGAATCTATATCTGATGGGACGAGGCTGTCTGAGGGGGAAAATTGTAATAGCAGTATAACTTTAAATCAATATACAAAAAGCACCAATTCGCAAGTTAACAAGGACAAAGGTGTTATGGAAGGGGTGCCTACAACTTGTGAGTCTGCAAAGCCAATGGGTGATACTTCATATAATTCTCCTAAAATTGATGATGCACAAGCTGCTGTTGATTCTGAATCTATATCTGATGGGACGAGGCTGTCTGAGGGAGAAAATTGTAATAGCAGTATGACTTTAAATCAATGCACAAAAAACACCGATTTGCAAGTTCATTGTCTCCTCGGTGTTAACCTAGCTGCTGCTACCCCTGATATACATGGTAAACCATTTTTCCTTTCTAAGCATTGGAGAGATGCTCTATGCAGATGCAATAATTGCTTGGAGTTTTACAATCAGAAGCAGATTGCTTTTCTACTTGACAAGGAAGACTCAATTGCGGAGTATGAGAAAGTGGCCAAGCAAAAGAGAGAAGAAAAGTTGCAGCGACAGGAGGGTGCGGAGATAAGTTTTTTTAATAAACTTGGTCATGTAGAGAAAGTGGAGATCTTGAAGGGCATTGAAGAGATGAAGGATGGGCTTCGTGCATTCCTGGTAAGTTCTCAGACATACTATAGATTTCTTTTTTCACGTTTTTTCACTATTTCAGTCGCTTGTTCTGAATGGTAAAAAGGTGGAGCAAGAGTTCTATTTGAATAGATGGGTTCATGCTTGTTCAATCGTGGGTAGAGTCTTATAACAATAACTGATTGTGTTGTGGTTGATTGTATGTTATGTTTTGTGACAGGAGTCTGCAGACTCGTCAAAGCCAATTACTGCTGCTGATGTCCACCAGTTTTTTGATGACATTAAGAATAAGCGTCGCCGGGTACAGTGAATTTTTGTTGTGTGTTTGCGTTTCAAGGGCGTTAGTCAAAACTTTCAAACTCTTGTCTGAGGTTCAAAAGGCCTGCATGGTTTATGATATTTATATTACAATGCGCTGTTTGTATCAACTTTTGAATATTTTAGTTCCGTAGAATGAACTTGGATTTAACATATGCTTGTTAGACTATACATTCTGCTAGCCAACCATCCTGTTTTTGGTTATTTTTTACTCCAATTTCTTGACGGGTGCTGACGGTTAATTCTGTTAAACACTAAATTATATAAGAATGCATCAAATATATATTTTTTATAATTGAGATGATAAATATATTTATTTTTAAGTTGTTAACACGAGCTTTCAAAGCCACGTTAAATAAATTTTGTTAATAAGTGAATGTGTAAATAGGTTATTTTTAAATAGACTTGATGAATACACTAACAATAAAGTGTGAATCTCAGGAATTTTTATACTAGTTTCCCACGCTCCCAGATCCCGACATATAAGTCCTGTCATGGGGATGAATCTCATGCTAATTTTTTTGGCAACTGTCAATGAAAATGTGTTTTATACTAAATTGGTAAATAATACTCGTAAATATTGTGTTTCTTGTCAATTAGGGCCACTTATTAATAGATAGTAACAATAATTGAGTGACTATTTAAGTTTTATTATATTCAATTCTATTGTTAGGTGAAATATTCTTGAATTTATAAATTCGATTAGCTTAAATTTTTTATAATGTGTTACGATTACCACCACAGTAAAAAAATACGGGCTGAAGTTTTTAGTAAAAGATATAGATTTGTCTTTAGCTATCTTCCTAATATAGGAAATAATAAAAAAGTGTTTTTTACCTTGGAAAAGCTTGATCTCAACTCAATCTCACATACTTTTACTCGGGGGCTGGGCTGGGTCTTGGGGCTCCCCAATGTCATAATCTGGTCAGCAGAGTGATCAGCGGTGCCCAATTTTGATTCGTGTTCACTGGGTAGCCCAATGAATTAGTTGGTTATCTCGGTTGAACTTTATGTTGAACCTTACAAAAAAAAAGTTCAATAAAAATTGATATTGTCAAAAAACTGTTTTTTTCATTTAAGCTTTATGTTGAGTCTTATTAAAAATTTAGGAATAAAAATTTATTTTGTTAAAAAATATTTATAACAGCTTTTTTCAAGATAAACAAAATATAATTAATATTGGATTGGTTTTAAATTATTATTTCATATTTTTTTTACTTAACTGAAAAAATAAAATTGGAAACAAAAATTGTAGTAGGAAAAATTGAATCACTAACATGTTTTAATGCAATAAAATTAAACTATTAATCACTTTCGATATAATTGACTAATAACAAGTTAACAAAAAATTCAATTAATAAAATATGAAACATTAGTCTTACTTATCTATTATACATAACCAAATCATCCAATAATAACATTTACAAAAAAATTTGATAGCATTCATTCACATATGCCAAAAAACTCTAATTTAAAATACACATATTAATGAAATATAGAGTAATAGTCATATCTACTATATTAATCAAATTATTCAAAAATAACATCAACAAATTATATTTTAGTAATATCCATATATGCAACATATTTTTCTTATCATAACAAAATATAGTTAGTTTTAATATAATCAAAGCATGACAATATTTGATAAAAATTATAAAAAAAACAAATTGAGTAGATTACTAAAAATTCAAATGACTAGTATGCATACTGTGCAGTGCTAGTTATCCAAGCTGAATAAGAAATTTTGGGAACAAAAAATAACTATAAGGTAACGTTTGGTTCAGAGACAGAGACATTGAGATAGAAACACAGAGACACGCATATCATGTTTGACAAGTGTCTCGCTAGAGAGATAGAGACATAAAGGACACGTGAGACACAAATTTGAAGGACATCAGTGTACCTCCTAGAAAAAAGGACACTAATGTCCCAACTCTAGAGACCTCTCATAATTTTTAAAAATTGCATAAATTATTCTCATAATTTTATATCCAAACACAATACAAGATAAAATACACCACATCCTGTTCTTACTTTCAAACACAATACACAGACACAAACATTAGTGTTTCTGTCCTTCATTGTCTCAGTATCTCTGTCTCCTGTGTCCAGGGACGATATCCAAACGCTATCTAAAGGGATAAAATCTATACATTAAGGAACAAGTTTGTATAGAAAGGTAATAACTAAATGGAGAAAATATGTTTATGAAAGAACACTTATAAGACTTGTACCAACAAATTAAAAAGAAAAAAATATATAATCTTACCTTAAAAAAATATGAGGTAAACAATCTATCTATTTATATTATATTTATTAATTCTAAAAGCATATAATGATATAACATCACATGAAATTATTTTAATTTAATTTTTTCATTTCTGTCTATTATATTACAAACTGCCAAACAAAAAAAATATCTCAGCAGAAAAGAAGACAACACAAGTAGTCAAAACAAATGAAGATAGCACAAGCAATCAAAATAGATAAAGAAATCCTATGTAAAAAATTTCTCCATAAGTCATAACAATGCTATAAGGAATTATGTGAACATATAAATATAAAAAACAACAATTGAAGCAAAAGAGAAATACAAAATTTGAAAGAAAACACATTTCACAACCAGAACAAAAGTGTTAGTTAATGTCAATTGCAATGATAATTCAAATTCAATATGATTTTAGGCAAAGTAATGTAGCAGGATAGTAGATGTAACTAATTAATATCAAGTTTATATTGAACTGTAAAGTTGTTGATGGTGTAAGTGCACATATCAAGGGTTCATCACATTATAACCTTTTAAACTTTCTGTGCAAGTATTTTTAAAACTAAATATTTTAGTTAATAAAAAAAATTAGGTTTCAATTATTGAACATTTTTGAAGCATTAAAGTCTAATTGATCAATTTACCTTTACAAGGAGAAGGAATGAGAACACGAGCAGAAATAAACAAAAACCTAAAATGGAGAAGAATGGCATAATCATATTCATACTGATTAAAGAAAAACAAAACAACAATAGAATAAGAAACGACACTATAACAAAACAACGTAGACAAAAAAAAAAAAGAATGAGTAAATCCCTCACCCGCAACAACACAAATTTAGTAGTTCATTAAACCAAACAACAAAAACATAGAACAATATTAACAAAAACTAAAGAATAAAAACCCTAACCCCAAAGGAATACAAGAAAAATAAAAAAATAAAAAAATGCTTACCTTAGTAAAGATGAAAGTGGAGTAAAGAGTGAGAGTAGTAAGACGAAAGAGAGAAATGGTGGTTACAAGAAAGAGAGATAGAGAAGGGAATAATTTCCTAAATCCTAGCAGAGCAAAAAGATAACAAAGAGAGGGGCGGCGCATGAACTAAAGAAAAGAGGGAAAGGTTCAGATTTGTTATGCATCTCTCAATTAAAACCTATTGATTGGAACTGGACCTGGGCCTAAATTTAACACACACACACATTCGCTTGGTGGCGAGTTCTGACGGTTCTACAATTTTAAATCCATAGTCGACCATCCTTAACCATTTTAACCCAAAAAAATCCATTTTACTCACCCGAAACCCATTCAAATATATTTTTCTTGGGTGGGTTCTTCAATTTCGTATGGGTCGGGGCAGTTTGATCGGATCCTGCACAACCCTATTGGTCAATCATGTTGTTTTATCTCTTTCTGAGATAAATTTAGATCTTCTAGTCATTTTGTACTCTGACCATGAAGAATAGCATTAGAAAAAGTTTAAAAGTTTCCTTCCTTACCATGCTTGTAGCCTTATTGCCAAAATTAAACTCCTTTCTAATTTTAGGGAACAAGATATGTTTTTTTGGCACTTAATCACTAATGAATTTTTTTCTATCAAATATGTCTATAGTTTAATTTTTTATCCATCTCTTTGTATTAATATGTTTAAGCTTGTTTTGGAATTGGGATTGACCTCCCAAGATTGCACTATTTTTATAGAAAATATCTCATGGTAAATTAATCTAATGAAGAAAGATGTAAGCGTGATATGTCAATTGTTTCTACTTGCCTCATGTCTAGACCATCTTATTTTTCTTGAGACTTAATTTGCTTTTTTTCAATAGTGGTCTTATAAAGTGGTTTAGTTAGAACTTGTGTATTCAGTATTTGAACAAATTACCTAATTGAAGTAGATTGTTTAATTTTACTATTTGACACTTGTGAAAAGCTAGGAATCTTTGTTTTTCCACAACTCATCTATTCTACTAAGTAGTAATAAGGAAAGAGCTATGTGATGCTGATTATTTGAATACTTTTTGCAGGGGTAGCTCCAAAACTTTGCCAAGGCTAGTGGCTAATCAAATTCACATTAAGTGGCTTTCTCCCATTATTAGTCAGCTTAAATTGAATGTAAACAATTCAGTTGTACAAAATTCTACAAGCTGTGGTGGATTAATTAAAGACGACCAAGGCCAATTCATTGTTGGATTTTATGGTAATTTGACACCATGTTCTCCCTTGGCAACTAAACTGTGGGCTATTCACATGGGAGTTAAACTAATTATTCACAAGAATGTTCAACTTATTTGAATTGAATCCAACTTTAAGGAAGCATTGTCCTTGCTATTAAATATTTAAGACAATTTTCATCCTTTTTTTTTTTTGGTAATGTAGCATTAAAAATTTGTTAAAACAGATTCAATTTGTTAGATTTTGTCATGTTTGTAAGGAAGCTAATAAATATGTTGATAAGCTTGCTAAATTAGGCATAGCATAATGTGTTCCTTTCAATTGTTTTGATATGTTTCCTATTTCTTTGTATCTCTTCTTGTGTCTAGACGCTTGTGGCATTTGGACCCCTAGGGTAGTGACCTAACTTTATTTGTTTGTTCTTGGTATTTGTTAGCTCCTTTGTATACTAAAAAAATGAGTGTGTTAAAATATGATAAGTTTGTATTTTTAAATATTTTTATAACCTATTTTTATGTACTTGATCCTTATTTAAATGTGTTTTACACTAATTATTTTATTGATTATCACAGTTTAGCATGCTAAGAGCTCTAATGGATTATTGAAGTGTTTTAGGCATGAATTGATGAAAAATAGGGCAAGCACACCCATACTTCGAGCATATACACAATTATGCATATTGGTCATGATCCTCTTTTGGTGCATCCAACTTGGAGATTTTTTAGGGACTTGTGAAGAGAGAATTTGAATTTAAAATTTAGCAAATCATATATTTTTCTCTTAATGCGTCATATCAACATAT